AGCCAGGCTGAGGGACTCCCCCCTTCCCCACCCCCGTGCACGAATTCCATGCACCAGACCTCTTGTTATAGATAAAGAAGAACTGGAGACCTTTTCTACATCAGCCTCAATATTGACTTGTAAGATGGTCAAAAGGTCAGCTTCTCAAAGCTTGCACTTCATGATAACCCACTAACTTCTTGATATGCCTCTAAATGGGGAGAACGGCCAATATTCCCAAGTAAAGTCACTCTTACTTAACAGAATTGAAGCAACTTCCCTGAGCTCAAGGTTTAAAGGTAAGAAAGCATGGCTCTCTCCCAAGATTGTTGGGCTACATCCCAGAGGGCTCATTGGTCTCTGAATAGTATCTGTAGACAGGCTGGAGAGCTGATGTGGCTTTAGGCATTTTGAGAGAAGATGCCCTGGACTTTCCTAAAATTGGTCTAGGAAATATTCTGGATGGAGTCTGTTCCCACTGTTAGCATTAGCTATGTAAACATGGATGTGAATCCAATATGTCTAATTGGATCCGTTGTGTAATTTATGTTTATTTATATATTAGCTGCGGAGATTCATATATCCTAATTCTAATTAGGATTCAGACACAGTAACTGGTTTATAACTAAACAGAAAATAATTAATAATTACTTTTTAAGTTATCCATTGAAATTCAGCCAATCAAAATAACTTAATCTGTAGGCAAGGAGAAGTTTGGTTCTCATGCACATACACACACACACAAAAAAAAAACTTTTAAAAAGTTTCCTTTAGACATTTATACACATTCTGAGGTTCCTTTGGTTGGTATTGGATCTGAAAGTGTTCCCATCCAACATGTTGAATGGCAGAACATTAGATCCCCACTTACAGTTTTGCAATCCAATACACAAAACACTTTTGCTTGTAACTCAGCTTCCATTGCTGACCATGGAAAGATCGAGTTACATCTAATGTTGTTATTTTTCATTGGTGTGGCTAATCCTGCCAGTGGCGGTGGCACTAGGACTCTGGTAGTTTCTACTTTCACTCTTGAGGGACTACCAGTTACTATAGTTGCCACAAGAAAGCAAGAGTAAACAGTGAAGCACACGAAGAAATTGCATGTGTTCATCCTTTTGGTTGTTTCAAACTAACAACCTCATGAAGGTTTTAGAAACTGTCACATAGGTGGACTCCTAACTGCATGGAAAGTGACAAATTGGGGGTTTGGTAAAAAGTGGTTCTTATGGAAAAGGAGAGTTCGGGTGAGGTGAATGTGCATGAAGTACTTGGTAACCAATATGACTCCGTTTTAGTGGTAGGTACAGGGGCAGAGCTCTCTTCTGATAATAAGAAAAGTACTAAACCTTGATGGATACAAAGGACGCAAAATCTCTAAACCTAGAGCAAGAGAGAGCTGTGGTGCTGGGAGCATCGGGAGTGTCTGGGCAGGGGTGCCCCCAGAAGCAGAGCCTGAGGCAAGGACCGGGATGCCTATTGGTTATCACTACAAATAGGTGTGAGAGAATGGAGAGCATGGAGAGAATGGAGGGAGGATTGGGGCAAATCCAAAGAAAGTGCCATGAGGGCTCATCAGGTCGCTGCTGTTGAAGAAGGACCCTCTGAGAAGTGTGCCACGTGCCTCTCAGGAGGCCTGTCCGAAGAGCACGCGGCTGGAACACTTGTCTACAGGCTCCTGCCTCCCATTAATTGAGGGCTGCCCTTGAGGGTGTGAACTCTCCCCCCTCCCCCCCCCCCATTGCCACACTTAGCTGAAGAACGAATAGTGTGCAGGCTTCTGCACTTCTGGAAAAGGCTCTGAGGCAGACATTAGGGAGATTCGGAAAATGTTCTGGAGGCCTGGGCCCAGAGGAACCGTCCACTCACTGAAGCTGTGGCTGAAAGTAGCTGGGGGCTCAGGGGATGGGAAACAGGCCTTCCAAATGTTTGTGCTACAAATAGTCCTCACTGACAGCATCTGACAAAAGGCATCCAGACGTGGACAAATTGTTACGGACTGAGTGTTTGTGTCTCTCCCAAACTCACATGCCGAAATCCCAGCACCAAATGTGATGGTATCAGGAGGTGTGCCTGTGGGAGGGGATTAGGTCTCGAGGGTGGAGCCCTCGTGGATGAGATCAGTGCCCTTCCATGGAACTAAAGGGACAAGTGCCCTGCTCTCCACCATGTGGGCAAACCTGGCAGGGCCTGCACCAGAATCTGGCCACGCTGGCACCCTGATCTCAGACTTCCGTCCTGGAACTATGGGAATTTCCTCTTGTTTATAAACCACACTGTTTATGGGACTTTGTTATAGCAGCGTGAACTGATGCTGGCCCCGAAGATAAATCTGACGTTCTGTAAGTTTTAGCTTAGCTTCTTTCATGGCACCTAGATTATTGTAAACAAGCTTAAATGAGATAAAATAGAAATGTGAGGAATAGACTCTTTCCTCCCAGAAGCCCCTACCAGGTTCAGAATTACAAGGGTTTTAAACTCAGCTCCCTATGTAGTCAAAATATTGCCAATGGAAGGACAGACGTGGCTTTGCCAAGATAATATATTCTCATTGCATCATTCGTTTCTCTACCCCTGTAACCACCAAGCACCTCAGTCAGCCTGATCAGT